TGAATTTATCTCCCCCACTACCTCTGTCACTTGTCCCGAATCAAACGAATTGGCAGACTTTAAAGCTGGGCTAGAATCACCTGTAGGCCAGACACACACAGGACTTGGGGAAACAGAGTTAGTAACCAAAAACTGAACCTGAAAACAATCCAAACCTTGGGAGGAAGAAGACGCATTATGAGTTGCTGGAATAACCTGAACCCCTTTTGTTTGACTTTCGCTGGGAATAGGACCCTCGAAATCAAGATCTGGCTGATTGCAGTAGGAGGCGGGCAGTTTATAGCTCTGCTTGTAGGAACCAGACTGCCAACACACACCGTACAAGCACCCATTCCCTGGTCTTTACAAAGGATTGAATCCCCTTTTCTCCCTGTTTCGGTTTTCTCCTCAGCCGAGCCTGTTTTCTTTCTTTCCAACTCCTTTCTAGGCCGAACCAACTCTCCTGGAAGTGTATAAGCCTCTTCTTCGAACAGTAACTTTAATCCTGGGTCATCTTCCTCCCCAAACCTTGAACGACATTTACTCTGTATACTACCATAGCTGGACTCTTCAACATACAACTCCTCTTTCAGAGACTCATCATCTACACTTACCTAGTCTGAAGCAGAATCCTCCTCTTCTAACCTCGTGCGATTATATCTCGGGTTAGGTTTATCTGGGCTAGTGGAGTAAGAGACCAGTCCTGGCTGCCACGCTAAAGTCGGACCAGACAAACGTTTTTCTTTCGAGCCAGTTGCAGACCAATCTCAAGAGGACGAAGATATACCACAGCGAATGTCCATAGTCTTTTGAACTTGTTCCACCTCACGTGCCTATTTAAGTGGTCACCTGATTTATCTATGGGCTTAGGTGGATTGTCATTTGATATGGCCCAGGCCTGCAGTCAGGGAACACTAAACTTTTAAAAAGACTGGGTCAGGTTCAAAATTATAAGGATAGGCTAATGGTAAAAGTGAGGGGTACTGGTGGGCCCAGTCTTATCTATGGGCTTACTTGCTGTTGGAGTCTTATTTCCAGGCCCATCCACTTTAAGTTTAAGACTGGGCCCACCAGTACCCCTCACTTCTACCGTTGGCCCATCCTTATAATTTTGAACCTGACCCAGTCTTTTTAAAAGTTTAGTATTGGTTCCCTGACTGCAGGCCTAGGCCATATCAAATGACAATCCACCTGGTTGCTGTTCCAATCTACCTCCACCTGTCCCCACCTTTGGACACTTGTTCAAATTCAAAAAGTCTTCTGACAGACTTTCTCCACCTTTGGACGTTACTACCTGAGCAAAAGTCCTAGTCTGATCCTCTGATTTGCCAATTAAAGTGGAAGACTGGGGTACTGCTTTCCTAACCCTTGCTTTTACAGTTTCCTTCCCGGTGTTAACTCAAACCTTGGAGGCCACGTCATCTTCGTCTTCCCCACTCCTCCCCAATCTCCACCATCTAGCTTCKGTAGAAGTTGCAATCCAAACCCTAAGTTCTACATTATCTGAAGTTAAATCCAAAGACCTTGGGATAAGCTCTGGCTTTGCTCCAGCTACATTAATCTGCACGGCACTCAGGTTGGAAGCATCAAAGGAAACCATCTTGTCTCCACATAGCTTCGCAACTTTCCTGAATACCTCCATCTTCCATAGATGG